AACATTGTAAAGACTACTTGATTTTTATTTAAGAATTTACAGGCATTTACAATGTTGCTGTGTTGCCAAATAGTTTGCTGGGTACAAGTTTGGTTGCTCATGTGCAAGTGTTTGAATAATGTTCTGTTCATGATGAAGGGGAAATTTTTTATATAAAGTACTTGTTTTATAAATAAAAGAAAATGAAGGATGTAATTAAATGTGTGGTTTGGAAAAAAAATCCTAATATATTACAAATGGATCTGGTAATGATATATAGTTGTCTTATTTGAAATAGTAAATGAAATTCTAGCTAATTTAATGATTGTAAAACAGTAAATATGTTCTTGTAGTTTTGTATAATTAATTAGTTGGGATCTTTGCTGACCAGTTTTAATTGTGCAGAAGATGGTATACTAATCCATAACAGCTGAGATCATTTATATTCTTGCACATCTATTAAAGACTTTAATGAAAAAGTGAACAGACTGTTATTTATCAGTAAACTGGGCTGTGTCCAACGTCTGAAGGAGACCCCACTGTGAATGGAATCCAGGGAGTCTCCCTGTGTGTTCATCCTGGATCCTGTGTCCTGTCCCTGAATCCCAGCTGGGCTGGGGGTTCTGAGCCCAGGGCAGGGGCAGTGACCTGGGGCAGGGGGTTGGTCCTGGACTCTCACCCACCCTCAGGGCAGGGGAGGTGCCTTTCCCAGCCCTACAGAGCATTCCCTGCTCCTGGGCAGCACTTCCAGAAGATCAGCTGAGCCTCCTGAGCCCCCTCCAGCCCCCCCAGGCTCGGGGTGTCCCCTGTCCCACCCCTTGGTGTCCGGGGCTGTGTGGGACTGACACAAACCAGCTCTTGGCTCTGGGACTGCCTGAACCTCCCTGTGCAGTTCAGGGAGACTGGCAGAGAGTTCTCTCTGCAGCTTAATTAGAGCAGCCACGTTAATCACTTGATTAACACTGAGACTGACTTAGAAACCTACCCAGGAAGGGGGTGAATTCAGCTGGGCTCCTTCAGAGACATGGAACCCCCACCCCTTTCTGTGGTTTGGGGGGTGTTTAACAGGGATACACCCACAGAACTAACGGGACAATTACACTTTCTTAGACAGTAGAATAATGAAAAATTCTGTGCTCAAATGACTTTTTAATTAAACTGATTTTCAGAGATTACTGGCATTTTTTTCCAAGCAGGTAAACTTTTGCATGAGGGTAACAGTTGTCTCTCGTGCAGCTGCTTTCTTCTGCACTGAGAGCTCCCGAGCTCTGGTGCATCAGCCCAAGCAGGGGCTCCAGGGATTTCCAGCAGTACTTTTTCAGGAGCACCAAGCCTGATTTCCCTGGGGGTCTCCCCAGAGCACCATTTTCAGAACTAGAACTCCTTTGCGTGCATTTGAGAGGATTTAAAATAAAAAGACCCTTGACACTTGACCTTCTCCTGAGTTACTGGTTTGTGATCTGAAAGCGTGAGACGAGGATGTGCTTCCTTGACACATTTTTCCTTTCCCTTGGAGAAAGGTTCATCCTTGGCCTTGTTCCTTTGCTCTCCATTCTCCTGGATTTACCACATGACATCATCTGCACTTTCAGACAAGCACCTGGCCAGGTGCCCATCGATGTCCAGCTGGGAGAGCCTGCAAAGACAGGGTTGGTGCAGTGAGAAACAGTCACAGCCCTTTACTGACACTTCTTTCCCCTCCCTCTCACACGTGTCCTTAGTGGGGGGTCACTGCTGTGCCCAGCAGAGCTGTGATCCCTGAGAAACTGCCCCTGCTGGTACCTGCTGCTGAAAGTTTTAAGGGTTAGAGGACCTGCCCAAAAGCACTTTTTTGGCAACTCTGACAGCCTAAGCACTGTGCCATGGTGCTGACTGCAGGAGGCAGCACAATTCCTGCTGCAGAGCAGGTACTCAACGTGTGAACTGGTTTAAAGCAGGTAATTCTGGCAGTTAAGAAGAACTTTGCAGTAGAAGTTTTGTCTATTTCCATTATTTTGTAAATAGGGAATGCATCCAGAGCCAGGTGGGGTTTTGTTTACTGGGAAGTTATAAAAACACCCACAAAACACAGAACCCCAAACAACTTACGTTCCACTGAACTGCATCAGGCACATGGGACAACTGTCAAGAGCTGAAGATCCTCCACTCTGGTTTTCCACCTTCCCCTCGCAGCTCCCGGCCCCGGGAACGCTCCCACGAGGCTCCTCCGCAGGCACAGCTCTGTCCTGCCCCGCTGGAACCTTCCCCTCCTGTGGCTGGAGCTCCTTCTCCCCCTCCTCTCTCCTGTCCCCCCTGCTCTGTGCAGCCCCTGTGTGGTGCTGCCGAGGGCTGGAAGCTCTCACAGAGCCCCGTGCCAAGGGCTGTGCAGAGCTCGTGTGTCCAGGGAGCTGCCGTGGCTCAGGACTCACTCCCAGGTCGGAAATGCCTTTTGTGCCTCCCCCAGCTGCAGTTCTGCCTCGCTCTGTGCTGGTTCCCCTGCAGGTTCCCTCAGCTGTGGGTGACAAACTGGGAAGTTGATCCGCTTGGGCCCATCCTGTATGTGACTCGTTGCTCTGGGAGCTGAAATCCTTGGGGTTCAGATGTTGTTCTGTGTGAAAAGGTGGGAACGGTACCCACGGAAAGTCTCTCGTTCCAGCTGTGAAGACCTCCTGGTGTGCTGGGCTCTCCTCCTCAGCACCCTACAGCACACACACCATCTCAAACAAATGCAGCTCAATCAATGCATAAAGTGAACACACTGCAAATACTGAGAAGGTCGAGCTACAGTGAAGAACATTTTATTTACATCCCTCCCCAGCACCCGTAAAGCAACCAAGAGCTTCCTGGAGCTGATGGAATATGTGTCTTCCCTTAACATTTCTAAATGGATACAGTAGGGATTCACTATGTTTCAGAGACACTAAAGATAAAAACAACCCCCTCAAAACAAAAAGTACTTTCTAAGGGCTGATTTCTGCGTTGTGACCTTGCCCAGCGCTACGGGGCGATGTCAGGGTGGTTCCTGTCTCATGAACCCTGTCACAGGCTCCTTTCCCACTCCCATTCCTCAGGAGGATCCTGGTGCTTGTGGCACTCACCATCCTCACACAGCAAAATGCTGGAAAGGTTTGCCATGCTGTGCCACATCATTACATGTGAGATTAAAGAGCTGAAACCTCCCAGCTCTGAAGGCTCCTTCAGGTGGTTTCCCCATCATCATCACTGCTGGAAGCAGGACACAAAGTGCAGAAACCAAGGATACAGCACACGCTACCTTTTCCAAGAACTCCGGCAGGCTGGGCACTGTGTCCCAGTTTGTGCAGTGCAGATCTTGACTGATGCCTTTCAGTAACAAAATCCAGGTTTTTTCACGCTCATTTAAGTCTTCCTTTTCAAACCAGGGACATCTGTCAGTCGACGTCCTGGAAAGACAGGCACAGTAGTTTGAGGGTGGGAGAGAGGGAAAAAAATGCTCTGCTTTGTTATTAGTATCTTTTTTTCTGGAACACAAAGACATTATTTAACCTGTAAACTAATTTTCACAGCTTCCTATGACTTATATAACTTGTGCTGCAACAAAAAAAAATCCAATTTTTTAAAAAATTACTGTCTAAACACCCTCTTTTCTCCTTGTAACAAATGAGCTGTGGATATTTATTACTGTCTTCACTTCCAAGTTAAACAGTGAAGTGTAGATACTGGGTTTTCTTCTCAAATGCTGAACTTGACATCTGCTGAGCACAGAAATCATGGAAATGTTTGCACTGAGGGTGGCAATTGCATTGGTTCCTACGTATTCCTGGCCATTCCCACACTGCCATTTGAAATTCTCTTTCCAAACGACTTAATGGATCCTAGGAAGGCTTTAGAAAGTTTAGCTACAAGCACTGAAAAGGTTTTATACGAGTAATGCCATAGAAAGACAATTCCAAAAGAAGGATAGACTGTTAATGTCACAATGCTATTTCCAGCGTTCCCACTTCTTCCTGATGTGTTTTCTCGGATCAGTGTCCAGGAATGAAGCTGCACTGAGTAGAAATCAGAAGAAATTAGAAACTACAAGCCCTCAAAGAGCGGAGTGATGAACTCCCACAGCCTCTGTGGAGGCTTCAAACAAGAGCCCAACCCCTCACTGCCTTCAGTCTTCAGGCCCGGGGCCCGCTGTGCTTTATGCTGCAGTTTTGTGTCTATTTTTTAAAGGCGCCGCAGGGGGTGTTTTATGAAATAACCTTTAACACAGTCAGTAATGAGACCCTGATCCGAGCGCTGCGGCTCGGGGGGGCCCGTGCAGGCCCGGCCCGGCCCGGGCGAGGCGCTCCAGGCCCCGGAGCCCATCTGATGCCGTCCGACCCCCCCCGGGGCCGATCCCATGCGATGCCCGCGGTGTTTGCTGACCCGACCCGGGGCCGATCCCATGCGATCCCCGCGGTGTTTGCTGACCCGACCCGGATCGATCCCCCCCGGCCCGCACTCACGGCCGGCGCGGGGGTGTCTCGGGGCCGCGGGCGGGCGGCGCCGCGCGGGGCTTCAGGCGCAGCTTGGCCGCTCCTTCCTCCCCCATGGCCGGGGCTCCCCGCGCCTCGCCGGGCGACGGCGCTGCGGGCGGCGAGCTCTCTTCCTCCCTCCTCCTGGCCCGCTGCCACGGCCGCGGCTCTCCGCCCTCACAGCCGCCCTGACGGCGCGGGGCGGGGGGGGGCTCTGAGGGCGCCCTGAGGGGAGCGCGCCCGCCCGTCCGCCCGCAGCCTCCCCTCCTCGCCGCGGAGCTGGGGGCTGGTCTGCCTCGGAAACAGCCCTTTTTGTGCCGGTTTTGCCCCTCGCGCTGTCTGTATTTGCAGCGGTTTGGTGCGCTCGGGAGCGCGGCCTCGGGGCGCTGCAGCCCCAGGCGCTGAGGGCACAAGATGGCGGCGGGGTCAGCGCTGGCCGCCATGGCCCCGCCGAGCCGCGGCCTGGGCCCGTAGCCGCCGCTGTTCACACAAATAATAAAGATTGGGAGCCGCCGCCGGTCCAACTTATCCTTCAGGAAAGAATCTGAAGTGATGCGGTTTGACGTTGCTGGCGGGAATGTCGCTGGGTGACTCGAAATAATGAGCGTGTTAGGGGTTGGTTTAAACGCTCGTCTGGCCTTCTCAAACACACGTCAGAGAAATGGTGACACACACTTCGTCCTCCAACAGCAGATGAAGGGATCACAAAGTGACTGTGCTGTTTAAATTCCTCACGGTCGATATGAGAATAATTGTACAAGGTAATAAAAAGTCCTGTTTGATAACAGGTGTTTATGAGGGAGAGCGGGGTACAAAGCGCTCCTCTTTTCCATAAAACCAATTTATTATTGGTAAAAAAAATGAATCCAAGTTCACATTCCTTTTCTGCAACTGAATTTGTGCACCGCTGGGTGTCTGTGGACTGTTTCATCCATGAATTCAGAGGGAACAGGAGGCATCAATATTGACTGTGCTAAAGCCACACCTGTGAATTACCGTGTTGGTCACACAGCCCTGTGAAAAGTTATTCCTTTAACAGCTGACCTGACTTAAAACTCGCCTTGAGCAGATCTGAACCTTGAAAGTGGCACTTTGGGTGTCAGAGTTCGAGATTCACATTTCACCTGGACTGGTAGATTCAACCTGAGCAGCGACAGCTCCAGCCAAACATTGGAAACCACATCCAGTGGTTTTCCAGCTGCAGATGATCCAGTCAGTGCAGCCCAAGATCCGGGAGGCTCAGCCCAGCTTTCACCTTTCCCGTATTAACTCAGGTACTTCGTGTTTCTGTGAGTCCATCACATCTTTGACTCTATGTAATAACTAATTTCTAACATTATAGGAGCATTAATGGGTTTCATTTTTGTATAAGAGCGAGGATAAAGATGTTGGAAGTGGGAAGCGTTTGGTTACTGCTGGGATTTGTGTCAGTTTGTACAGTAGACAGCCCAGCTGAAAAATAAAAATAATAACAAGTAGTCACAGTAGAGTGCCAGCATTTTGGCTGTGTGATGGGTAGACTAAAATGAGAATAAAAATGGGAAAGAAATGACAGTGGAAAAGCCAATCGCTGTCACACAGACTAACATTTTCCCACTTAATATCTGTTACAGCTCCTGCAGTGCCAAGGGAACACCAGGACAGTCACAATGTTCTGCCTGTCATTTTTGTCGCCATTTAGAAGCTGCTTCCCAGTGTGTGCAATGAGATTCCAGGGAATATGTCCTCCTCTCCTTCTTTGTCGGGAAAGGCGTTCTCCCAAAAGCTGCAGGTGGAACAAGGTAAGCTGACCAGGGGCAAGGGGTGAGCTTGGATCTGAGGGTGTTAGGCCTGCTGTGGAGAGGAAGGTGATGGCAGCAGGGATGGAGCAAAGAACTGCAAGAGGAAGTGTGTGTAAATAGAGGAAATGTGTGTAAATAAAGCAAAAGTGGAGATTGGAGAGGGGATCAGCCGTGGGAGTGGTGGGAAAGGAGATGACAGAGAAGGGGTAGAAATTTGATTTCACAACTAGTTGAAGAAGTGTTCCTTGGGGGTTTTTGCTCAAGATCGCTGTGAGTCGTGGCCCAGCGCTGACTGTGGCCACGTGGAGGCAGCAAACTATGCGGAAATGGGGATTTAACGAAATCCGAGAGCAGTGAAAGCGCTTGGATGGAGCCTCCAAACTCAGTTGTAGGTGTACCTGTGTTAACGACTGGTTGTGCCACAGGGCTTCTTTTATTCCTGTGATGTTTGGGTTGGTGTTTTATTTTATGACCCCTGGAATACCACTGTGACAATGCTCTGCTCCTGAACCTTGTGTTGCACCCACGGGTTGATGTTGTTAGCTATGACTTCTCCCAAAGCAGCCCTCAGGAGTGCAGCCTGTTCCTCAGGCTGGAGGGGTTGCTGTGTGCTGCTACAGCCCTGCTCTGCAGCATTTCCAAAAGCTGTATTATGGGTGAACATAAAAGTTTGTTATTGTGCAGTAAGGGCCACAAATGGAAGAATATAATAAAAAGAATAGTGAAAATTATTACTGCAGCTTCTGGTTGTAAAAAGCAAAAGGGAAAACCTTGCTTCTGTAGCAGCTGTACTTTGTAGGTGGGTTTGTATTTTGTAGGTTTAGCTGAAAATTGTTAGATTTTTTTTGTTATCTGTTTAATGCATACCCATTCTATGCCTGTGAGGGCAGGCATGTCATGAATGTTCTCATTCTTGCTCTACCTGTGGATTTCCAACTAGCATTCTAGAAATCTTTGACCATTAAGGGTACTCAGTATTTTTCATCTGCATCTTTCCAGAATTAATGATGTACTAAGAATATGAAGGTGAAGTGTAGGCTGGGACCTGTTCTTGGTTTTGCCACTTTGCACAAGGTCGTATCTACTGTTTCTTCCACTGCATGGGAATCCTGTTACTTCTTGCTTGACCTTGGGTCTTGCGTAATTTAATAATTAGAATGTTTTAGGAAAGAAGTTCTCCTAGGAATGCAGAGAGTAGTCTTTACCATAATCAGCCTTGGCTGGATTTGAGCCAGTGGTCAAGGGATTTGAGGCTGTGGAAGCCAGAATGCTCCTACAGATTATCTGCAGGGATTTCCTTGTAAATGGAGTGCCAGCATGTGGAGTTATCTCTTCCCCGTTGAGTCTCATCAAGCTGCACACGCTTAATCTTTACTTACATGGTCCCTGCTTCTTGCTCTAAAGTGGGCCTCAGTTTTAACTTTTGCTCTCAGGAAGAAGGGGCTATTATAACAAATTCTAATCCTTTTGCAACTCCACAATCACTAAAGCCTATAAATTGCCTGCCAAACAAACCAAGTGATCTTTTCCTGGGCCGAGGGAAAGCGGAGAGTGTAAAACGCAGGTGCCAGCATTTGCTGGGGAAGAACTGGTACATTATCAGCTAATCCGCCTTCTGCTATTTCTGATTTCCTCCCCAACAGCTGCAGCATTGAATGAGAGCTTCTGCATTTGGGAAGAATTAGAAAGCCTGGTAATGCAGGGTCTCTATTACAGATACAGCAGCTCACAGACAGGGAGGAGATTTTTGCTGCCAGTGTAGAATTTGGAGTGCTTGGCATTTTATAGCCTGGAAAAATTGTAATTTTCAGCTGTTGTTATGGAGTAATCAATGAAGAAGAGATACCATAGTTTCTGCTGGGTTTCTCTCAGAGCCTGATGTCACTGCATGCAGGAGCTGTTATTTTTTTTAATGTACCACTTTGAGGCTGAAGCACATGGAGTTTTTATTAAAACTTATTTTTTTGGTGGTGACTGATGCTCACAGATAGCTTTAGTCCTTCTGCAATATCTTTGGGTCTGTACTGATAGCTCCTGGGTCCGATAAAGATGTTTGGAATAAATTGTGCCTCACTAGAAAATTGAAACGTTATTATGTTTTAATTATTTTATCTAATCAGTGCTTGGGTTAGGAGTACATGTGGATCATTTTTTGTCCTTGTCAAGCAGTCTGTGACTTCACTCAAGGATGAGCGTGTCCATTCTGCTAAATGTGATAAAGGACAATGTCCCCAAAGAGACCACAGCCCACAGAGCAGCAGGAGAGCTGCTGCAGCAAATGGACTTTATGGTGTGTGTCCTGACAGCCCAGTGCCAGCAAATGCAGCCCTGGGAAGAGTCACTTAGCCCAGTGCTAATCACTGTCTGCTCTGCAAGGGGAAAGGCTGCCTCTCCTCATTAATATGATGTATTACAATTCAAGCCACAGAATGAGGAAAACTGTGCAAGGCTTCCTCTGGCACAGGCAGGAGAAGGAGGATGACGTGCAGTTTCAGTTGGAGAAGTGCAGGCTCATTGCTGTTTCCAGAGCAAGTCACTTGAGTGGAGACAGTTCTGTAGGCTCCCCCTAATTTTAGTTGTAGGAGACATTCTCTTTTCCATGAGGAGTCACTGCCTTCCAAACCTGCTCCCTCTGGGAGCTCACCAGAGCTGGATTTGTCCCCGTGCAGCGTCCAGTGCACGACTCATCCCTTCAGCTCAGCCTTCCTTTGCCACGTGTGAGGACAGATCAGTACCTCTGTGGCTGGAGATGGAAAACCCAGCCTTGTGACATTTATATGCCAAGATGGGAAGACCTAAAAAGAGGACTAGGGAGACTAGCATGGCATTTGCGGGTACCAGGTTGCCAAGGAGGCATATTGTATTGAAACAGTTGCCTGGGAAACATTTAAAAATACATTGAATGGAAAAGCATATGTGATGTGCCCACAAGTGTTCTGTGTGAATGAAATGCCATGGCTGATGATGGCACCAAGAGACTGTTACTATTACATGTAAAAATGCTGCAAGTGATGTGTGTTTTTTTCCTCCTGTGGTTTTTCTCCTGCCCTGTTTGCAGGAGGTGCACCGAGGGAAGGTTGTTTTGCTCTTGGCTGATGGATTAAAGTGACTGTGGGGAAGGTGGAACGTGCAGGCAGCAGCAGCAGCCGGGGATGGGAAGAGCAATTTGGCTTCATTTAGGCAACCTAAACCAATTGACAAGGAGCCTGCACAATTCCCCCTCAAAAGTAATAACAGCACTGCTCAAACTCCTACAGCATAAAGAGAAATGGTTCTCTGAGCATTACCCTTTAATGGCTGCTAAAATGGGATTGGGAGGCTCTGACGTCATTGCAAGAGGATTTATATGTAAACATCACATAAAATGCAGTTTATGATCAAAGCAGGTTGGCAGCTTATATGAAAGAGTTTCTCACTGGCCTAAGTTTTTGTTTGGGGCACTGAAATAGAGGGAGAAGGAGGGAGAAATTTTCAGAAGATAGCTAACTGCTCTGGTCCTTCCTCAGATCAGTCTCAATTATTGAGAGATGGTGCTGAGAACAAAGAATGATGTCAACAGAACTAAAATAAACAATCATATCCACTCTTTGTCTCACAGAAAGAAAACTTTTTTTGCTATGCAGGCAAGAAACAAGGGAGATGGCAACTATAGTCTGAGATCCCACCCTGGACAAAGGGGTTCATCTGAGAGTAATTTCCAGATTCTAAAATGCATCTCTCCTTCCCTAAGAAATGAATGGCATGTGTGAGGCTGGGTAGGATTATGGTCACCCTGCCTAATCCTCCTTTGGAGGTTTAGAAACAAATATCCTACTCTTGATTTGTGGGAGGCTTAGGAAGCCTGTTTGGGAGCCAGCAGGTTTTCCTTGTGTGGTACAGAGTGAGCCAGGCAATGTTTTGGAAGGGAGATGCAGCAGAGGAGCTCAGCTGGGTGAGCAGGAAGGTCTGGAGCTCTGCAAAGATAAGCTGCCTTCAGGGGAAGGCTCCAGGGGCTCAGCTCCTGGGAGATGTTTGTGTTGGGAGTGGGAAGTTGCTGTCTGTTGGGTGGTGTGTGTGTGAGAGCACACTCTGCTGACTGTGCTGTCAGTGTGGCCAGCCAGGAGATGCTTTGGGGCTGGATACCTCATTTGGGCACAATCTGCTTGGGGTCTGAGGTGATCCAATGATTCCTTTGGCAAACCATGAACTCCTCTGTGTGTCAGTCCAGTCCTGGGATCACTCATCCTTTCTCTGGCCCAGTGTGTGTGTGGTTAAATCAAGTCCTGATGTTTGTAGGCCCCGGGGTGAGTGTAAGCGAGGAGGAGAAGCTGCCTTTCATCCTCCCCTCAGGATTTTGCAATGTGACTGCAGACTGTTGGGGAGGATGTTTCAGATCTCAAACAAAGATGAGCTTTGATGGCATGAACCCGTGGGTCCTGTGGGCCAGCCCAGAACTCCACTGAGGGAGTCGTATCATCTCCCCTTTTAAAGGAGTTAGACTCCAAGTTTAGGATCAAATATGGCTTGAGGTTTTCATATTTATGTCTTGCTTGCTTTCTTGTTTGTTTTTTGTTCTTTGGTTTTTATTTAATTTTAAGTGTATCTCCCAAATTATAGCCTATAGCAGTTTGAGCTCCTCTTGTTTGCTGTGTATCATTCCTTCATTTGAAACAAACACACTAAAGAGCTCCACAAAAAAAAAAATTAAAATCCATAAATCAAAGCTGTAGTAATTACAGAAAATCACCTGACCTGTTTGTGGGTATGAAACCACAAAACAGTGGTGCAAAATTTCCAGTACTAGTGAACGTGCTGTGATTTTATCCATAACTAGAATGGTGTATACAATCAGCTTAAAATAGAATGTAATTCAACAGATGAGTATGTATTTATTACTTCAACAAAATGTGGATAGGGGGTTTAGTTAGTTTTGCCATTTTTTAAGGACTAACCAGTGTTTTAGAAAGAAAATCTAGTAAATCTGAAGGAATAATCAAAGCTGTGGAGGCAAGTGTAAATCC